AAAAGGAAATTACTAAGTAGTTGGCAAGAGAAAAAAAGTTAAACCTGCTGAAATTGTACTTGGATTGAAGCAACAGCAGGATCTGCAATCAACTCGTATGCCTTTGAAGAGAGAACAAAGGAGACGTTAAAACTAGAAGGCCTACTCTCCAAAGTTTGTGCGCGATCAACGACGGTTACAGTTATTGTTCTCCCAGGAACGCAAAATTTAGGGATGGCCTCACTTATACACATCACCTGGTACTGTCTCCCACACGCCGCCCCATTGTCCCATAATCTTTCTCCAATGGCCCCAAATAGGTCTCCAGAGGGTAGTTGCTTCGGATCATTTCCGTAGCACGCAGTGGGTGTATATGGGGGATTGTAGCGAGCGGCAAGGCCAACATCAGGATCAACGGCAATGGATTGAGGAAAGAGGGCGAGGGCGTTGGTGGCAACAAGGATGCAGAAGACTAGAGCTATCGCCATGTTCATGGGCGGTGGAGGCGACAAGGATACAGAGCAACTTCAATTTCTTAATTTTATACGCTGAGCAGGCATTGTTAGAAAATAATACTCTAAAAATAAATCTCCACTATGTGAGGCGCCGCTCAAAGGGCATATATGCTTCTTGTAGAGCAGTGACCAGGATTTAAGGGCAGAGGAGAACAACTATAAATCACAAAAATTTTCTTTCAAGCTAAATGGGTGGTTGTTTAGCGTTCATAATTTTTTTATTATTAAGATAATTTATAATTACAAATAAAAGTTACTTTAAAAATAATAAAAAAAATAAAACAATAATAAAATATGAACATAGATAGAAGGAAATGATAAAGAAGAAAGAGATGAATTAACTTTGTTTCTTCTAATATAATTAGCCAGTCCTACAACTTAATATGCAAAATACCCAAATCCTAAAATTCAAATTTTAATAAAATAAAATTATCATAACAAACAAAATGGTAAATAGAAATAAAAAATGCTTCATAACTTGATCAAAATAAATCATTGAGGCTGAAACCTTTCTAGAAACAGAGTAATTTGTAGAAATAAATTAAATTATAGATTTAAATAAATTAAATTAAATTAAATAAATCAAGTATACAAATCAAGATTTGCATTGTAGGAAATTAATCCCAAGGCTGAAACATTTATTGAAAAAGTTGACGAATAATTATAGAACAAGCATAAAACAAAACAAAATGATGATTAGAATAAACTTATAATAACTTGAAGTTAACAATGATTCTTCCCTACCACTCACAAGAACTAATTAAAAGAGTAAAGTCTCTTTCTCAAACAAATTAAAAATCAAACAGTATAGTCAATTAGCAATTATACTTAAGAAAAATTAAAAGTTAAATAAAAAATAATTAAAAATCTAAAGCCAAAAAGCAGTTAACAATTACAATAATCAATAACAGTAAAAGAACGTTCCAATAAAAGAAATTAAAAGTTTGTAGTTATGAAAGGTGTTAAAATGGTGGAGTTATATTTTGTATTAGTAAAAAAAAAAAAAAACCCATGAGTTTAGGCAATAAATTATGATAAAACTGATAATTAGCTTTAAGTTTACCATTTTTTATCTAATAATTAACATATATACTTCAGTTTTTTAGTTTATAATTAACCTACATTCTTCTCTCAAATTCTTCTAATTCTCTTTCTGTCTTCTTATTTTCCTAAATTTGCATTCTCTAGTCCAATCTTTTATGGCTTTTTCATCATCTGCTGCTTCAAGCTTCAATTTTCTATTGCTTTGGTTTTTTTCTTTTTTCTTTTTTCTATTTCTTTTCAGTTTCGGGCAAATTCTCAAGTTCCAGCTTCAATAAACAAAAGGATCAATTAATGTGTTTCTAGATTCAAAATTCCTTCTCTCTTCTCACTCACATATTGGTTTCAAGATCGAGGCACTTTTTTGTAGTTAGTTATGGATGCACCATGATAATCTGTTGTATTTACAAATTTAAGTTGGTTATACCACCTTTAAGTTTGAAGGAGATGGTAGAGATACTATAAGATATGATTCATATAATTATGGGAGTAAATTTTAGATTTGACATTATTATTATTATTTGATATTGTTATTATGGTAGATCTAAGGTTTCTTGGTTAATAAGTTACCAAAACCTCCATATAAAGGTTCTTTATGTAATAGTTTTGTATCATTCAAAGGTATCTCAATTATGACTTTCTTCTTGTTTTCCCTTCTCTTTTTTTCATGCTTTAATTTCTTCTATGATAACCAACTATCCAAGTTAGTTTAAAATGTTCGAATTGTTAGAAAAATGGAAATCTCCCACTACGTGAGGCATACACTCAAAGAGCATATATGCTTATTTTAGACTAGGAAAACCTAAAGCAGTGGCCAGGATTTAAGGCCAGAGGAGAACAACTATAAATCGCAAAAATTTTCTTTCAAGCTAAATGGGCTGTTTAGCATTCATAATTTTTTATTATTAAGATAATTTATAAATTACAAATAAAAAATACTCTGAAAATAATAAAAAAAGAATAAAACAATAATAAAATATGAAATAGATAAAAGAAAATGATAAAGAAAGAAAGAGATGAAATTAACTTTATTTCTTCTAATATAATTATCCTGTCCTCCAACTTAATATGTAAAATACCCAAGTCCTAAAATTCAAAAAATAATAAAATAAAATTATCATAACAAACAAAATATCAACTGGAGGGATGTACTTACAAAAAAACACCAGCTAAAAGGGCACGTCGCTAAAAAAACCACCATTTAAACAGGTATTTCTTGGCTATAAAAATTAATTAAAAACTAAATTTTCTTTTGACCGTTCAAAGCCCAAAGTGCGCATCTAATATAATATAAAAGTGTACGGCCTAGACTCAAAGCGCAAGCCATGAGTCCAATTTTCTATAATTATATATAGGCAAAATGTAAATTTATATGAATCTCTTTATTTTCATATTCTTTCTAGATGTAGGATTTTCGTAATTTCAAACTATTCCAGGCATTGCAGGCTAGGCATTAGTAGGCAAATTATGTTTCAAGTATGGATATGAATTTAATTTTTGAATTCAAAATTTTTTATGATGCATGTATGACTATTAATCCAATGGACACAGCTATTTAATTTGAATAAATAAACATAATTATATATTTGCTATGAAAGGTTATGTTTGTTGAAAAGTGATAGCCTTCAGTCAGATAATAAAACCCTTGATTATTATGTGTTATTTTAGTTACTATAACACAACCAGAAATTTGATTTTTTTTTTCAACCAAATATTTTCTAGTGCAATTTGTGTTGGAAATTAGAGTTTAGTATAAAACATTGAAAATTTACAAATAATTTTGAAGTGAGACTCATTTTCTAGTATAAGTGTTAGAAAATAATTTAGCGTTATAATTTAGTTTGGTGCCTTTTCATTTTCCACCACCCAATGCTGGAAAATAATGTTTTACATATTGTTATTAACAAAGAAAATTTTCAAAAACAAAAAAAAAAATCACTTTTTTTTTTCAATGCAAAACACTAAAAAATGTTTAGAATCGATAAAGTTAAATGGTAGAAATGTGATGTAGGTTATTTTTTAGTATTAAGCACTGGAAAATAATCTTACCTAAGTTGTATAGGTTATTAATTATCTAGCATTTGGTGCTGAAAAATACTTCTATCCAATTATTTTAAATTATTTAATAGTGCTTGACATTGAAAAATACTCTTGTTCAATCAAATCAAGTTATTTTCTAACACTTAGTATTGGAAAATAAGTTTATTATAAGTTTAGGAACCAAATATTCAACTATTTTTTCGTTTTAAAAATTCAAAATTCCACATATATTATTTTTCAATGCCTAGCGTTGGAAAATTATTTTATTTAAGGTTTGGAATCCAATATTCAAGCACCATTTTTTCCTTAGAAAATTTTCAAAATCCCACCCACATTATTTTCTAGTGCTAAACGGTGAAAAATAATACTTATCCATATAAACATATAACCTAAACTAAAAAAATGAAAACTTTCATTCTTTTTATTGTTTCTTGGAAAAGAGTTTAGTTTTTAGTTTTATTGTATTCTAGGGGCACTTTAAAATTCTAAGAAAAGTGATATCACATCTCATATAGACCTAGCAAACAGGCGAGCTGGGCAGGTTAGGACAGGTCATCGGTCAAAATGAGTTGGGTTAAAACGGGTCACGAGTTAATAAAGCCTAACTCTAACCCACCCATCATGGGTCACAAGTCAATACACTAGTTAACCAAATTGATTTTTTTTTTTTTTCTGTAGTTTGTAACTATTACCATCCAAATTATTTTGGATGGTTTCACAATCCAAAAATTAACCTTCAAACACCAAATTTTACATAAACTAGTTAAGCGGGCATTAGTAGAATAGCAATCTCATCTTAAGAAACTACCAACAATAACATTTAAAATTAAAATGGGTGCATTCTTTCAACATGACATAAAACTTGAAAAGAAAAGAAAAATGAGCAATGACTTCAGTTCTTAATCCATACTTTGATCATTGATTCAAAAGTTAACATTATTAATTCACAAAATTCATACTACCAAAGCCATACAAAGAAGACAGCCAAGTACAAATTAGTGAAGTCATGATTTAGGAACAAAAAAGAAAAGAAAATTTGAGAGCACTATACACTCATAAATCTCGATAGCAAAAAAAAAAAAAAAAGTAGCAATAGCATGACAACCAAAAAACACAAACTCCATTGGAATGGATTTGTTTTAGTAATTGCTTTCAAAGAATCAATCGATTGAATGCATCTAAGTAAGTGAAGGAGAGGATAAAGTAGAATTTTTACTTGGAATGGAGAGAAAACTAAAAACAATAAACAAGTAAACAACTTACCTTGAAGGCTTTAAAGAGAAAGTTCGTGTCAAAGAAAGTACTTGTCGGACTCGAAGGAGAAAGAAAGGAGAGGCTGAATCAATGTGACAGTGACTTGGTGAGATTGAGATTTAAGTCTAAGACTATGTTAAAGACTTATAAGAGAAAATGTGGATTCAAAGCTTAAAAGTCGAAAGATGTATGGACTATGGAGTTTGGAGAATATAAGAAGAGTTGGAACTTTGAAGAGTTAGAGTCTTAGAGAGTATTAGCAAGCAAGGATAGAAAAGGTTGTGAGGTGAGTCATGAGTGGAGTGGAATTATTTTTGCTTCTAGAAGATGATGAGCTTAAAGAATCAGTTAGCCAATTAGGGAGAATTAGTCAATTATTAGGTATTTAGGTGGGATTTGGAATTATAAAATAAAATAAATAAATAATAAATTAAAAAAAATTAAATTATCAGGCAAACGGGTTAAACCCATTGACTCGATGGGTCAACCTATTACTAACCCATAACTCTTCGAGTTCTCTAAATAGGTCATTGACAAGTCATTAACAGGTCACAAATTAGGAAAATCCAACCCTAATCCATTTTAAATGAGCAGGTAATAGGCGAGTTAGTGAATTAGGCAAAATATTTCCAAGTTTACTTCTCAGAACTTGATTCTTTTTATTTGTTAATTATAAGTTTATAATGCTATATAATATGGTAACTATAATATTGTTATAAAAAAAATCTCCACATTTTCCCTTGATCAATGATTCTTCATATGCCTCAATTTACTTGATATGTGGACGATCAAAAAAAAAAAAAAATTTACTTGATATGTGATATGATGTGGGATTATATTATGCCCAGGTTTGCAAATTATAATTTAAGACGTCCTAACACTTATCAGGAACTTAATCCTAATGAGGTGGTTCAATAATTAAAAACTTAACATTTCAAATTGGAAATCTCAAGTTCGAATCTTGAATTTAGTTGGGAGTGATTTGAGAATATTAGAAAACTATTCTCTCTTATATAACCTATTATCAGATATATAAAAAAAAACACTTTTCGAGAACTCGAAGGGAAACAGTGAATGAGTCATTACGTGTTGGACAGAACAGAACAGGTAGCTTGTGACAAATTGACAATCTGAAATTTGGAATGAATTAAAGAAGCTTCGCTGGATGCTGATGAGAAAGCAATCTTTCGAACCTTAAATCTATGATATATTCATGTATAGGATTGATGTTATTACATTCTAGTAATTAAAATATTCAGATTAATAATAAAAAAATACTTTTAATAAATTGATATATAAAAAATTTTATTAAAAATATTTTAATAATTTTATAAAAAATTTTAATATTTAAAACATCAAGACATCATTATTTTTATTATTCTATTTATTTATTTTACGCAGGAAATAAAAAATCTCAATCTTCTCCCGGTAAGAATTGGTTGCCTTGGCCTAAAGCAAGGAATCGCAGAATGCGCCCAAGTTGCCTTGCCACCACTTTCGAATCTTTGTCGTTGGGCACGTACGGTTGAAATCAGCTGATGCTTAGTAGACTAATGATACGGAGAACGAAAATTGAAGACCAAACACAGCTTAAGATTTGATATATTTTTTTATTATTTTATTTTTTTTATTATAATTTTTTTGGTAAACGTTCTAAGATTCGATTTTTAACACCTTTCCACAAATTCAAAGGGACGCCGCGAATGGGTCATTCCGGGTTGGACTTGGACTGAAAATGTGCTTTTGAAAGTTTGAATCAGCTTGTGGTTGCAATTTACTTCTTTTTTTTTTTTTTTT